TTTTTTTTTTTGGTTTTTCTCTGGTACCGGGAACCGAACTCACGACCTTGCGCTTGCCAGGCAGGCGCTTTGCCGCTGAGCTAAATCCCCAGCCCTTGATGGTTCCTTTCTTTTGAGGTATGTGTTTTTTATATGTATGAAACCAGAATTAAAAGTGTAATCAGTGGGCATGACCTGTAATGAAATTGCTGGTACGGGTTACTATCCGTGATGTTCTAGAGGTGCATGGTTTTGAGTTCGAATCAGCTGGGTTTGCCTGTCTCTGCCATTGAACTGGAAAGCACCTCAGAGGCAGGGATAGCATCTCATCTGTGCCGCCCCAGCATCCAGGGACAGGGCTCCAATGTTTGCTGGGCCACATTTGAGGATGGAATTCCTCATTCAGGTATAAACCTACATTCTGCTGCTTCACAGGGAAAAGAGGTCATAGGCCAAGCCAGCAACGCCCCCAAAGCATGCCTCCAGGAAGCCCCCCGGAGCATGCTAGTATGGTAGGACTTCAGAAAGAGGTCCCAACGATCCCTTCCTAACCCCTCCTTGAGAATCTGAGGTGCAGTAGGGGTTGGGGCGGGGGCTGCAGGCACAGGAAATCCCACTCCCGGACACGCCCTTGACCTCAAGGCTGGCTGTGCTTGAGGCTTTGACTCTAACCCTCTGGTAAGGCCACCACCAGCCCCATGGTCCTCCAGGAGCTGGCAGTGGACAGACAAGGTAACCATCATCCTGTGGCCCGGACCCTGTCTGTCTGTATCTCTCTCTCTCTCTCTCTCTCTCTCTCTCTCTCTCTCTCTCTCTCACACACACACACACACACACACACACACACACACACACACACACGGCCTCCCCAAAGGAGCATTATGTTTATTTCTAGTCAGGAAGTGGGTGGTTCCACTATATGCCCTCTGTTCTTCAGGAGGATCTGAGGGGCACGGTCCTGGAGTCTGGGTGTCGACTGGCCTCCTTTTCACAGATTAATGCCAAGGTGTCAGGTAGTTGTTACGGCTGTGGAGAGAAATAGGGGTTAGGTGGAGGCCCCCCAGACTGTCCTGTAGAAAAATTAGCTTTCTCTAGGCCAGTGGCGAACCTATGGCACACATGGCACAGCAGGCTGTTTGTTATCATTGAATACTCTAAAAGGTCTGCCATCCCTGCTCTAGGCCTTCCCCTCAAACCCACCTTCCTACCTACAGGCTCTGAAAACAGTTTCTATCCAGCCTCTAGATGAGCCTTCTATGGCTCCCTATTTCCCTATATATTTTCCACTGTTCTCCTTGGCTTTCAAGTTCTCTGCTCACAGCTCTAGTTTGCCTCATCCTTATCTCCTACTGGCCCCCTACTTTGAACTGCTTCACCCCTTTTTCAGTCACTAGAAAGCATACTCTGTTGGACATCCTATGGTAGTAAACGCCAGGATGCATCCCCATGTGTATTCACAGGGTAAGGAAAGTAGTGAGAGCGTAGTACTACAGGTGATGGCCAAAGGGAGGGAGTGTGAGCTGGAGGGTGGCACAGGGGCGGGGAGACTTCAAGGAGGCTGGGACATCGGGGCTGGGCTTTGAAGGGTGAGGCAGAGGAGAAGGGACCACGTAGGTGCAGAGGCAGGACAAGCACAGGTCTGGAGAGTGCGTGGCTGTGCTGCTGGGTTTGGGTGGCACCAGGGAGACTGGTACTGCTGAAGTGTGTGCAGCAGGCTGCCGAGGTGGGAGGCTGTGAAATGATGAAGATGCTTGAAATCTCCACACGCTCCCCTTGCTCCTTCCCACTGCTGAGCCTTGTCTCCCGGCCAGAAGCACCTGTCTCCTCCCTTAGGATCTGTCCACATCCCAGGAGGCAGACTTTTGTCTTTGTCCCTCTGTCTCTCTGTCTCTGTCTCTTTCTCTCTCACTGAGAACTGAACTCAGGGCTTCCACACAGAGCTATATTCTCACCCCCTTATTTTTTATTTTGAGATGGGGCCTTGCTAAGTTACTAATTGCCCAAGGCTAGACTGCAACTTTCAGTCTCCTGCCTCAGCCTCCCAGAGTACTGGGATTAGAAAGGTGGGCCACCACGCGCACCTCTCTTCTTCCTATTAACATGTCGTTTACAATCCTCCCAGATAATGCCCCCCTCCTGCAAACCTCCTTTGGACCTGTCCTGGTGGGACTGGCACCCTCTCCCACGCCCACCTCATGCTCAATGAACTGTGCTTTTGCCAGGTGCAAAGCGGCTGTTGCCCCGCCATCTCTCAGGAGTGAAGTCCCGCCTCTCCCTGGGCCCACCATGGGCCGGGGTCTGAAACTCCGCTGAGCCCGGCGGGGGCGGGCCCTGCCGGGCGGGGGTGGGGCCTGTCGGGCGGGGGCGGGACGGGGCGGAGTCTCCCCTTACCTGTAGTGGGAGCCGAAACGCCGGAAAACGTTCCTGCGGAGGAAAGCGCAAGGTGGAGTGAGCCCGAGAAGAGGGACCGGCTCCCCGCCGTCCCGCCAGAGGGATTACCCTGCGCCCCACTTAACACCTCCACTCCGAAAGGGGGAAATTGCCGGGAACTGCGTGACAGCGTGCTCCATTTGGTAGGAGTTGAACCTTCGTTCATTTTGAAATTGCAATTCTCTTAGGCTGTACGGAGCCAGTAAATGTTTTCCAGGCCTCATATTTTTAAGGACCATTAGGTATGCGCTAGGAAAGCGGCCCAGACCCTACCCTCCGTCCTCCAAGTATGCGGTCGCGGGAGCGCGGCGTCACTTACAAAGAGTCGAAAGGCAGGGGCTTCTGTCCGTAGCGGTCCAGGCTAGGGTTCTGGTTGAGGCAGAACTGGTGCAAGCCAGAGGAATGGAGAATGTTAAACTGGGGGACCACAAAATCCCACCCGCGCCCCCCAGCACCTGCTACTGGAGATTTTGAGCCTAGGGCCAGGGAGACCCAGCCCTCGCGTCCCATGTCCTCAGCTTTAGCCGCTCCCCACCAGGACTCCCTGGGACCGGTCAGCGCACATCCTTTCCTACCCGCCAGTTCTGGGTCACATCTGGCTTCAAGTACCGCACCGCGTAGCCGCTGAAACTCTCGACTGCAGAGAAAGCCTACCTTGGGCGCCCTTGAACGAGCCGGGTCCCTCCTCAATAGCCGCGCCCAGTAACTAACCAGCCCCGCCCACCATGCGAAAAACCACGCCCACCCACGCCTAAGGCCCGCCCGTCGACTCAGAAGGTGCTTGGTCCACACAAATTAGGCGGGTCCACAAGCCCCGCCCACAGAACCAGCCTCTCCTTCGCTGCGCCCCCGAAAGCTCTTTTATTGGCCCAAGCTCCTCTGTTGGCCCAGGATGGCTCCTCCCACCCCAACCCCCGGCCTGGACCTGAACCTGAAGACCACTTGCACCTCAGCGAGTCTCATCTCCTCTGCTGTAGGTGCCCCAGATACTCCCAGATCTCTTGTCCCAGCAGTTCCTACACTGGCCCGCGGCCCTAGCTCCCCCGCCCTAGGGCATCCTCCGCAGCAGGTAGACGGACCCCTCTTGCCCTGGCAAGGCAGCTTGAACTCCCCAGCTGTGGACACGAAGCGGGACCAGTCCTCGATGGCGCGCGTGAAACAGGGCCAGTCGATCCGGTTGATCCCCGGCGCGATGGGCGCCAGCTTGCCCTCGCGGTACCTGCGGTGGAGCTTCCTGCCGGTTGCGGTGATGTCCTGTCAGGGTGATGGGGATCAGGACCACAGTGGCAGATGCAGCAGCCTGGGCCTCCCCAGACCACTCCATAACCCTGAGTTGACATTTGGTTCATCTGACTGTGGGGATGTTGGAAAAGAGCGACCCAGATTGGGCGGTGTGGAGCTGTGTCCCTAGGCAGCTGAGGACCTACGCAGGGATGTTGTGTGGGTTGCTGGGGCTGGATGTGAGCTAGTACCCTTGAGCAAACCCAGGACCAAGGGCAAACTCACCAAGCACTGCAGGGGTTTGTTGGGGACTCCCAAGAGTGTGAAGTGGGCATTGTCAAACTCATCTGTTGAAAAAAGATAAAGGGATAAAAAGAGGTGTCCTTCAATCAGCAGTCATAATCCACAGGAGAGGTTTGGCTCACACTATGCTTTACAATTAAAAACATTTTGGGGGGATGGCTTTTAAACTGGGTGTAACGGTGCATGCCTGTGATACCAGCATTTTGGGAGGCTGAGGCAGGAAAATTGCAAGTTGGAGCCCAACTTGGTAATTTAGTAACTTAGTAAGACTCTGTCTCAAAATAAAAAATAAAAAAGGGGCTGGAAATGCAGCTCAGTGGGAAGACCCTGGGAGTAATCCTCAGTATCACAAAAATTTTTTTGGTTAGCTTTTGAGGATTAGGATATTTCACCTTCTCCATATAGATCAAGATTTCAGTATAAAGAAATGAAGCCAAATGTTATGGTTTAGATCCAGAATGACCCCCAAAACTCTTATGTGCTCAGAGGTGGGGTTTTTGGAAGGTAACTGGATCATGGGAGCCTAGAACTGATTGGGAGGTGGGAAGAGATGGGTCACTTGGGGTGTGACCAGAAAGGGTGTATCTACCCCTCCCCAGCTCCGCTCTTATCGCTCTGCTCCTTGCTCACCACGATGTGAGTAGCTTTCCTGCACCACACCCTTCCACCAGCCATACCTGCCTGGGAGCCAGCTGTCTATGGACTGAATCCTCTGAAAACTGTGCGCCAAAATAAACCTCTCCTCCTTTAACTTGTGGATGTCAGGTATTTGTCCCAACAATAAGAAAGGGATGAAGATACCTAAGAAGTACTAGAAAAAATATGGGCCAATTTCTCTATAAACTTGGTAGAAGGCTTTACTAATTCTAACTTAATTTAAAAGTCAGAAGCTTAAAGAAAAGATCAAGCTGGGTGCAGGGGTGCATGCTTGTAATCCTAGGCTTATGAGAGGCTGAGGCAGGAGGCTCTTGAGTGCAAACAGCCTGGGAAACTTAGCAATTTAGCACAACTTTGCATCAAAATAAAAAATAAAAAATGGCTGGGGCTATAGCTTAGTGAAAAGGCCCTAGGTTCAATCCCCAGTACCAAAAAACAAACAAAATAAAACTACAAAGAAATAAACCTCTGCACAGCAAAACTATAAAAGAAGTCAAAAGACAAATGGAAATTTTTTTTCTATTAATTTTACTTTTTTTGGTACCGGGAATCGAACTCAGGACCTTCCGCTTGCAGGTACTTGTACCACTGAGCTATATTCCCAGCCCCTAATTTTACAGGTAAAAAGCAATTCCCTAATTTTGAAATCTTCTACAGATCAAGACCAAAGGGAAACAAAATGTATGCTTACAACTGAATACATGCAAAGTCAGAGCGTTCCCTAAAATTCAAGACTCCTGGATTCCCTTGGGAGCAGGAAATGGGAAGAGCTAATGATCTTGCTGATCTTTGCACATAGCGCAGTCAGCCTGAGCCTGAGTCTAGCAGGTGCAGGTGTGGGTGCCCACTACACCAGGCTCCTCCTCCCCACTCACTCCCCATCTCCTCCGTCATGTGCTCATGCGCACGTGTGCATGTGTGCATGTGCATGTGTGGATGCATGTGTGTGTGCACGCATTTGTGTGTAGTGTCCTGCCCTGGCCACAGGGGTCTGGATGGACCTCTGAGGATGTCTGGTGTGTTTTGACATCCTCACCTGCCTGCCACCCAAAGCAGAGACCTAGGTATCAGCCTGAACACCCCTTTCCCCTCCTCTCTAACCTGAAAACAAATCCTGTTGATTTTATCTCCTAAATACTGTCTCTATCCATGCTGAGTAATCCCCCCACCCCAGCCCACATGTTCAGACTGTATTCATGGGAAGTGTCCTTCTCTGCCTGTTCCAGATGTAGGGGTGGGTGGGCAGGAGTTGTTGTAGTTATTATTCCTCCCAGGGCAAGTGCCCACCTCTATGCTCCGCTCTCTCCGTTAATAAGAACCATAAGATGCACACATGCGCTCGAGCCCCTATCTCTCTCCCCTATCTCTCTCCTGCTCCACCTCCTGACTCCACCAGCAAGAAGCCCCTCTCTAAACGTGGCCCCTTGACGATCATGCACCTCCAGAACTGTGCCAAAACGGACCTTGTTTTGACTTTAAAATGAGCAGTGACGTTAGCAGCACCAGCAATCCTGCTTGATAGAGAAATATTATGCGCCAGGCACAGCTCTGGGTTCTCTTTCTGTCATCTCATTTTAGTCTCACAACAGCCTTACGGGGCAGGCCCTGTCGTCATCCCCATTTCACTGCTAAGGACGTAGAGGCTCAGACCTTGCTGGGGTTTCTGGGCAGGGACTAGCAGAGCTGGACTGTCACCCTTTCATCTGTTGTTCACGGCTTCTTCCTCCAGGCTCTTTCCTTCCCCATCCATCCCTCTTGAGGCCCACAGAGCCACAGCGCTGGCAGCAAGTGAGGAAGCCTGACCTTTGCGGCAGTAGGTGGTGGACTGGCAGTGCTCGTCCGAGAGGCAGGCCCTGGTGGTGTCCATGTCCATGCGGCGCAGGGTGGGCAGAGCTGGGTGGTAGAGCTGCTGCTTCACGCCAGCCAGCTGGTTGCGCTGTCTCTCCATCGGGAGCAAGATGGCTGGGGATGCATACACGTGGGTGGAGCCATCATCCCAGGGCACCAGGTCAATGATGCGAGCCATACCTAGGGAGCAGAGGGCACAGAGGAGCTCACGCTGAGCTAAGCCAGTCAGATACCTTTCCTTGGAGGAATACAGCCTTCGCCTGTGCTCATTTGTCTTCCTGTCAAGCATTTATTTAGTACCTGCTGTATGCTCACTTCTCAGGAGTCCCAGGTTCCCTGGCAAAAGACACAAATGTGCATACACGTATGTACACACAGGCTGCACTAAGTGGTAGAGGGAGGGCAGTACTGGAGGGTGTGTGTCTGCTAGGCTGGAGACTGGGCAGGGAACGGTCTAAAAGAGGTGGCATTTGAGTCTGTTAAGTAATTTGTACAGGAAAATGCAGTAGCAAGTAGATTCAAAGTGTAGCTTAGAATGGCTGTAGGTGACCAGTTCTGGATTTGACTTAGCTAAGGATCTGACATTTACCCAAAATTCCACAAAAAAGACTTAGAAGTGTTTTAAAGAGATGAGAAACAGATAGAAAAGCATTGCCTCCACTTAAAGAGATGTTCTCAGGAGCCCCTTTTGGTTATTCACACTTTAGTAAGAATTTGTTGACTTGCTCTCTTTCCAACCCTAAGTTAGAGATGAGAGATGGGGGTGGGAGCCAGATGGGTAGGGGGAGGGAAGACCTGGGACTATGGAGGGTCAGAGAGAGGGCGTGGTGACAATGGGAAGCTGCCGTGGGAAGGAGCTGCATAGGGAGGGTCAGGAAGTGGAGCTTTGAGAGGAACAGAGGGCTTCCTGCTTCTGACCCACCTACAGCGGCTACCTCATCTGCAGGGCACAGGCCAAGTGCATAGACTTCTGAGCACTTTCTGCTCTTGCGACCGCTCAGTGAGCAGAAGAGGAAGGGAGGGGGGCCAGGCCTTATGGACAACAGAAACAATGCCCTCTGCAGCCTGATTGTGAGGACACTGCTCCTAGGCAACCTGGAGACTGCAGGCGCTG